AGAGCTGGATGAACACAGCAGGTCAAGCGGCATCAGAGGAGCAGGAAAGCTGACGTTTCGGGTCGAGACGTTTTCTGAAGAAGGATCTCGATCCGAAACGTCAGCTTTCCTGCTCCTCTGATGCTGCTTGGCCTGCTGTGTTCATCCTGAAGTTTAGGCTTTCTTTAGTTGATATCTTTGTTTGCTAGATTGATTTTCAAGATTGTACTGTTTACATGTGTTCAGTTGAGATGTGTTCATTGAGGTCCGTTTCATGTTATTTTAAATGCATCATCTTTGATATGTTGAGTTTTCTCTTTTCTTCAACTGCTGTTTTCCACTTTTTGGGATCAATAAAGAAGGACCAAAAACACAGAAACTATGCTGCTACCCAGATTCCTTTCCTTCCCCTCTGTGGCCAGATTCATTCGATCCATATTAAGAACAGTGCAGAATCTCCAGGCCCAGCATATTTTTCTGTCAGACATTATATTCCATATTGCTGGTTGATTCAAATTCTGTATTCATAAAATCGAAATGAATCAGAGATGAGGATGTAGAGATGTTAGGAAACCAATGACTGACAAACTGCTGAAGCAGTAAGAAATCACGAAGGTAGCATTAGGCATCCCTGAGGAGATTAATTAAAGGAAAGGGAGCCAATGAAATTGCTACAGTCTTAAACCATTATTTTTAGACCTCCATTAAATTAATGATTCACAATTAGAATAAGATTCATAATGTAGGAATTTTTAAAAATCGCAACATTTACAAAAAAAACAAGCAAAACATTTACTTATTCAAAATGCTTTCATTAATGTCCATTAAGAGGCTTCTGCTTTTGTGAGAATTCAAATTTTGAATTCTTGTATATTCAGAGATCGCACTCTCCACTGAAGCAAGTCAACAAGCTAACAAGTTATGGTTTTCAACATGAATTTGTGCTTACAATTTTGCAGAAAATGTTTTTGTGATTGAAAGCAAGATTGGTCATTCCTAGGGTACACTAGGACCTGCTATTTGTAAAGTACTCCCCTCCCCCATTCCTGTGTAGCAATCAAAATTCCTCCAGGGTGAAAGCCTTAGACACTATTATGTTTCGGAGCAGATAAAATAACCACATCTGTTTTTCTATAGAATGGCAAAAGCAACATAAAGCATGAACACATCAACCTTTCACTGAATTAACTCTGAAAACAAAAACAGTGCAGAGTATGTGTTAACTGATCTCTCATAGAAACAAATTTAAGAGGTTAGTTAAACAGGTTTTGTCATTAATATTAACTAATTGCACCAGCTACACTTTTATCCAAAATGTCTGCATTTCTCCAATTCTCTTGAGCATCCTGGATTTTAATTCTTGCACCATTGACAGCTGTGTCTTCAGCTGCCTCTCGAGCTAAGCTCTGAAATTCTCTTAAATCTCTCCACCTTCCTTTTCTCTGATTCTTTAAAATGCTCTACAAAATTTCACCTTGATATTGGACCAGGAATATAAACTCTGTGCCTAAAACAGCAGGTCAGAGGCTAAGAATTGTGCAGTGAGTATCTCACCTCCTGTCCTCCCAAAGCCTGACTACCATGTGCAAGGCACAAGTCAGGAGTGTGGTCGAATACTCTGCGCTTGCCTGGATGCAACTCCAGTAACATTCAAGAAGCTCAGCATCATCCAGGACAAAACAGTCTGCTCGAATCTATCAGCCACTCTATCACCTTTGATATTCACTCATTTCTTCACTGGCACGCAGTTACAGCAGTGTGTACCATCAACATGATGCACTGCAGTAACTCACCCAGACTCCTTCAGTAGTATCTTCCAAAGTTGAAACCTCCAAAGCCTAAATGGACTTTCAGGGCAGCTGATACATAGGAACATCAATACCTGCAAGTTCCCGTCCAAGCCACACACTGCTTATGGGTGGCATACTGAGATCACAGTCAGATCAGCCATGATTTTATCAAATGGTGGAGCATTCTCAAACAGCTGAATTGCCTACTCTTGTTCCTACTTCCTATGTTCCTGAATTCTGAATTTACATATACTGCTTTAAGCATAAGTTCTTTATTTCACTGAGTACTGATACAAAAATACCTGGTGAAAAAAAAACACAGATTATAGTAACAATTTCTTGAGTTGAAATATATTTCTTCTTTGTTTTAGTTATAAAAACCACAGATGACCAGTAAAGATCAAAAAAATCTTCTCCATAATGCACACAGAGACTAACATTTTTGGTGTGCATGCAGTAGATGGAGAAATTATGTCTTTATCTAGTCCCTGCTTCGTTTCTTTCAAGTATATAACTAAACAATTGATTTGCTAATATTAATGCTTCTGGGATGATCTCTTACCATCTTCTTTATAAAGCTCTTTCACCAGTTCACCAAGTCTACTTAAGACAGAGTAACCTTTAACTCTTTGAGAGCACTGCCATAGGAGATATGTCAGTGTAAAGCAAAATGTAATCCTCTGTCTTTTTTCAAATCTAGGAATTGTGGTGCAGTACACCAATGACAATGGAATAACCTGGCATGTTTTGCGTGAACTGGACTACATGTCTTTTCTGCAACCTCAAATAATAACAATTGAACTATTCCCAGAAGCCAAAACCACATCTACAGCATTTCGCTGGTGGCAGCCACAACATGGTAAGCTTTAAAACTGCAATTCAGAATCAGACATAAGAATATTAAGTAGCAGACTCTTCACTGATAGCTCTAGCCAAATAATTATTACCTAATTTAAATGTCTAATTTTATGATATATTGTAATGAAAGCTGTGCACTAACAAGATGCCATAGAATGCAATTTGGAGGCAAATGCAATTAAAAGGTTAGACGACTACATAGACAACATTATAAATCTATAGATGAGGCAAAACAAAAACAACGTCATAAAGAAAAGCCTCAAAAATATACTTGGAAGTAACTATTGAAAAGTAATTAACATAAATATCATTATTGACAAACATCATGAACTTCAGATGTTTATTTTTCTTATGCTTATAATCATGCATTCACCCTTTAACAATATAAATAGAAATACTTATTTTATCACAGCATCAAAGAGCCATTGTCTTTATGAGAACGTCTTTGTTAGAAAATCTTTCCCTTTAATGGGGTGTGGTAACAAAACATGCTTCTTTATCATTTTCATGTCATGTGCAAGTAACAGATGATTAAAACTACCCTTCACAATTTTAAGTAAATGAGAAAAAAATTCCTTTTCTGCTACATCAGCGTTCATACTAACAGGGGCTGAAAGGCTTATCTCCTTGACTTTCACATTCAAAGCATATGTTTGATCTTAGATCAGATTGGTTTGTTGATTTCAATTGCAAATTGTCTCATTGATTTAATCAGTAGAATGTCCTTCTTCCATGAAAAATTGTTTTTCTCTATTGTGAGATGTTATAGCAGTTAAAAAATGGTGGCTGCAAACAATACATGTTTGTAGAAATCATTCGTAGATTATTGTTTGCAATCCTTAAATCATACTAACTTATTGATAAGAAATTACTTACTTTACGGTTTAAATTAGATTTATTGCAGGAAATTCTTATGTTTGGAAAGTGGCACAATTAATTTATTGATTTTATTTGTGAAGGAAACCATCTTAGAACTTCATGAAGATTTAGTTTTTGGCAATAAGGGAAATAGATCTCTTCTGTGCATTCGGGATAACACACATATGCTAAACCTACAGTAATTTGGTGCATCAGTAATAATGGAGGTTACACTCAACTATTTCAGTTGACACATAGACATGGGTTCATCAACAAGTTTATTTTGCTGGACATGTCACAGGAGACGGGTCACAGGAGACAGATCCCAGGATCCAGTACTACTGCAAGCAATGGATTTGCTATAAACAGCAAAGGTACCTCAACCTTGTCAAGAAGCACCGAGTAAGGAAGCTTCATCCCACGAATGAAGCCATAGATCGTGCGCCATCCCCTAGGCCAGAATGGCATTAATAGAAACAACAGCCAAACTACAAAGTAGTTGATGTAAGAACTTGATGTTTTTGTCGCATGCCCCTCCAGGTAGTGGAAATTTAGCAAGAATGGTGCAGTTTGTTATTCACCGTTCTAGACTGTATCACAGGTGCCCTATTTCATGATTATTAAATTTAGTGTTATGTTGCACAGGAACACAAGCAGTGAACGTTGAAAAATCTCAATGTGGAAATCAGAGTACCTGGCAATTTCAGCTCGCCACTTGCTCTGAAGGACTTCCATGTTGCTTAGGTACAAACGGCATCTCAGGACATGTTCCAGGGCACCAGCCACATACAGCCCTCATCCACTGACATTGGCATTAAGCATTTACTAGCCACTCATGACCATTATGGCACTTCTGCAATACACTTGCAGGTCGCTAAGGAAGCACACGTTCATGTTGCACAGTGCTCCAGCAACAAGCATTCAAAGGCTGCATTAGGGACGCTTTGCACACAGGCAGCAGCTCACGAATTAGACCAAGCTGCATTTCAGGAATGCTTGCTTGCTTTAGCACTTGCTCACTCAGCATCTAGCTGCATGCACGTACCATCCACGTCTTGCCTTGCTGTGCCAATTAGTGTAGTAACACACAACCAAACAGCTTGCCTTTCTGGCTAGCAGTCTTCAGTTGAGGAGGTGGACATCTTGCCTTTGGTAGCGTGAAACTTAAATCTCACTCCACTCCCTACCATCCTGCTACCCTAATCTCACAATTATCTGATGTGTTTACCATTTGATAGCAGCTGTCAAAGTGGCTGTCTGTGATTCTGGACCTTTAAACGTCAGTACCCAGCAACTGACTGTTATGAATAGGGGACATGGTTCTTCTTCCTTTAACAGCTCTGTACTACAAAGGAACTGTCAGATGGAAGTACAACTCTGCATTTCTGAGGAAGCTCTGAGTGGAATCTCGTCTCAGAAATGTGGAACTCTTCTCTTACAAAAAAGAAGGGCATGAGTGGCAATCTGTGTAAGATTGCCACACCTCGGAAGATATGACCCATTACTTTACTGCAGATAGTGATAAGTTCTTCTGTAATCTTGCAGTCAAATCACTGATATAAACAACAGGCATTGCAGTTACAGCAACTTGAATTTAATTATGTTGTACCCATCATTCTGCATTTAACCATTGTGTACAGCAATATGGAAGTAGCTGCATTATTACAAATCAATTGACTATAGGAACCAGAAATTAGTGTTGCGCATATTATTATATGGACTGTTGACATTCGGCATATTTCTTACCATTTAAAATTGGTCCAAGCATCTGTTACAATAGCCAAGAAAAATTAGTGATGAATAATGAGCAGGCAATTATTTTGATACTTATTGTCAACTGGAGAGTGAGAAGAAATGTTTTAAAGCATGAAATGCTTTGCCAGAGGAAAGATTTGAGGCAGAAACCCTAATGAGAAGAACGAAAAACGTTAAAAGCCCTATAAGACAGGGTCAGATTAGAACAGTGGAATTAATTTTGAATTGGTTGAGGAAAAAGCCAACACAGGCAGCAGGAGGCAAATGACCTCTTTCTATGCCTTCACTTTCTACTGATTAATTTGTAGTCTTAAATCTTTCTTCAGACCGTGCTACAGTGATAAAAAGCATTGTTAATATCTGTCCTGAGGAAGGGTCACCGGACCTGAAAAGTTAACTCTGATTTCTCTTCACAGATGCTGCTAAACCTGCTGAGCTTTTCCAGCAATTTCTGTTTTTGTTTCTGATTTACAGCATCAGCAGTTCTTTCAGTTTTTGTTAATATTGTGGCTTTCTCAATACATGTTTTTAAAAGTTAATTAATTTATGACCTGAATGTCACACAATATATTATGTGTCCTATCATGTGCTCTAACTTTGATTTTTGTTTCTTTTTAGGAAAACTCAGTGCACAGTGGGCGTTAGATGATGTCCTGATTGGAATGAATGATAGCTCCCTTACTGATTTTCAAGATACATTTGATGATTCTTCCAACCTGCAATCCAACTGGTATCGCATTCAGGGGGGCAAGACAGATATGTATTGCCTCTCAAAGGACACAGCACTGGTTTTTAATGCTAATATAGGTACATAATTAAGCAGAAGTACAAATATTCATTACTAAAGGCTGCTCAGGACTTTTCGGAATATTTTACCCCCAAACCTGTATTTGAAAAGACATTTGGCAGTAGCATCACAAATTCAATAAATAATTGTAATAGAAATCAATAAAAGTAGGATAGGCATGCTTGAATCATGATGTGTTACAACATTAAAATGTTTTCTTTAAATCCTCTCAAATCCTCAGATACAAAGTGCCTTTTGTCACTGGTGATTGTGTCACTTTTGTTTTTTAGGCAAACCCAGGTTTGCAGAAACTTGGGATTTCCATGTTACTGCCTCCACATTCTTGCAGTTTGAGCTCAATCTAGGCTGTGGAAATCAGTCGCCAGATTCCAGTGGCATTCAGCTGCAGTACTCCCTCAACACAGGCAAAGACTGGCACCTAGTCACAGAGGAGTGTGTTCCTCCCAGCATTGGCTGTCTGCACTACACAGAAAGCTCAACCTACACCTCACAGAGGTTCCAGAACTGGAAGCGTGTCACTGTCTACTTATCTCCAGGAACCATGTAAGTTTTAAGAAATATAGAAACAAGTCTAGGCCCTCACACCTCTCAAGTTTGTTTCACCATGCAACTATATCATGGCACTTGTCTTTTAATCTACCTGCCATAATTCCATAAAACTTAATACACTTGCCTAACAAACATCCATCAATCTCAGTATTGAAATTTTCAACTGACCCAACCTCAACAGCTCTTTGTGGGAGAGAGTTCCAGATTTCCACTATTCTTTATGGGAAGAATAAAGAATCATTCTTCATCAACCTAGCTGTAATTTTAATGTTGTTCCACGTTGTTTTGGACACCTCTTGATCTGAGAAAATAGTTTCTGTCTACACTGTTAACTCAGTTATTCATCTTAACCACCACCATTACGTCATCTTATAATATTCTGTACTCAAGGAATAGAAACCTGTAATCTTACCCTTTCATTGATCCCTTTAACCTCAGGTATGATTCTGGTGAATCTGCACTGCTCCCACTCCAAAGCAAGTATTTGATTCCTGAGTAGTAATGGCCAGGACTGAACACAATACTCCAGAGCTCATCCTACCAATTGTGGTATATGCCCATAGTCATTACTGTCTTCCATCTGCTTACCAATTGGTAATCATGTCAGTAGGTTTCCATTAATTCTATCGACTATCAAGTAGGTTTGTTAGACATTTCTTAACACTTACTAATCCATGCTGTCTTTCTCTGATTAGTTCGTATTTGTTCAAATGATAGTCACTCTGTCCCTAAAAACTGATTCTAGTGAATTCCTCACGACTGATATTAAATGAGTAAGTCTATAATTTCCTGACTTATCTCTTCTATCCTTAAATAACAAAGTGATACTGACAACCTTCTAATTCAAGGGAATCATCTCTGAAAAAGTTTTCTTTTACCATAGGAAGACATAATTCATTCAGTATAAGCCAAGTGTGTTCATGATGTTTGAAAGTACATCTATGTATCAGCATGCAATCCTGAATGGGTATAACCACAGGAAGATGTTGGGATGATCCTCAGACTATATTAAGTTGATTTTCTGCTAAGAGCACTATAAGTGGCATTGCTATTCCTTAGAGAGAAACAGAATTTGTAAGTGCGCTCATATGGATATCAGTTAAAAATAGGACCAGGCTGAAACTTTTTCTATTGTCATCGTCATGAAATAGTTTACAGACAATCAAAGGAAATATTGGGCAAAATCATACACGATGTGGGCTTTGGCAGGATGTGTGTCAGAATCACAATGTCAAGATCATCTTACTCCATCTTTTGTGTTTTTCACATTGCATAGTGAGATCGTACTTAGGCAAGTCTGAGATGCTAATAGACATGCTGGATAACTTTTTGACAGCTACATCTATGAGCACGTTAAGAATGAAACATTAAGAGTGTCAAAAAAGGAGAGACAAAGATGTCACAATAACCTAATGTCATATGGGCACGCTATTCTCCTGCTTCAAGATGGTGCAGCAGGCTCTCAGCAGAAACCTCCATCCATTAAGCCTTCTCCATCGTCATCACATGATGCTAGATAATGAGAAAATACAGAGTCATAACCACTTGAAAGTTAAAATCAGGGACAGTTATGTATAAACTGAGAGTGACATACAAGACATTTTCACCCATGCCACCAAAGTGTCCTCAATATGTTCACTTCTTCCTCTCCGCCCCATTACATCTCAGTGTATTCCCTGGTTTCACAGCAGGGGTGGAGGAAGCCTGCTCGGCCATTGAGCCTGTAGGCGTTGGAGGTTCAATGGGGCAGCCCCAGGGGTGCTGTGTCTAAACAAGCCAAATTCTTCCCAGAGACAAGTTGACCTTTCTCAACTTGAACTTCCAACGGTAGGAGGGGGTAGGCAGGGTGGATGTAGAGAGCCCAGGATCCTCTCTGGAAAGAGCAGAGGGGTCTATTTGTAGTTCTACGCTGGGCGTATGCTTGCTGACACCACCCTATGTCCTTGTGAGGAGACAGCACCTGGACTGGAGTCAAGATTTCCTGCCCAACTTGTACCTGGATACCAATGGCTGAGGTGATGGAGTGCAGGTGTATGCACCTCTCCAGTAGTGCCTGAGGGTAGTGGATGTGACTGTCTATAGCAACTGCCAACCTGTCCATGGAGGTTGACAGATGATCATATCATGCACTGCTGTGATGCTGCTTCTGAGCATTAAGGCCCACAGCATGCTACACAGCTGTCTGTTGCTCCTGTTCCTCTTTGTGCATAGGGATAAAGTCCCTGATTGCCCTCCTGTCTGGGACTGACCAGGTACCTGGTCTTTGGCAGTCCTCTAAGTGCCAGCAGCCTGGGCTATTTCGTCTTCAGCCAACTGCAAAGTGATGCAGTGAGGTGCTCATCAGTTTGTGCTCCCAAACTTTCTAAATGTTCCTATCAAGCCTCAGTACCTGGACTGGTGGAGGATTTGGAGGGCAGTCTTTACAATGCTTCCTATGAGGCCTCAGACCTCTCACCATCTAAGGTCAAGGAGGAGGCTTCTGGGGGAGGGAGGCATTTCCCCACAGAGGTCCTGGAGATACTAGCTGAACCTGCAAGACAAAAGAGAGCAAAAGCATCACAGCCAGTAATTAGAAGGGCGTGCAATGATTGAGAGTGGGAGCAGCATTAATGTGAGAGTTGCTGTGGAATGAAGAGTGGTATTTACTTATTTAGCAAGATATGGATGTTTTTGCATCTCCACAGGAAGGATCTCAATCTTATTCTATGAGGGGGTGAGAACATAGATATCAAGCCCCCTTCCACCTGTTCAAGCTCTCTCTGTCCTGTTATGTCCTGCTCCTATAATGAGAGAAAGGGGTGGGAATGAATGAGATTACATTGGGTGGCGCAGCTGTTAGTATTGGTTCATGTGGGGGAAGAGGTGGTGAGTTGTACCAAAGGACTGAGGATGCAGCAGAATACCATGCTGGTTAAGTAGTGCGAGAGACTTGTGAGGGAGACAGTGAGTGAGGGGAAGTATTGCAGGCAATGAGAATAACAGAGCATGAGCTTTGGTGGGAGATGGGAGATAGCCTTCGCTATCTTCATGCTGCAGTCCCAATAATGATTGTGTAAGCAAGATTCTTCCTTCAGAACTTCTAAAACTGGTTCAGGTTCTTATGCTAATTTTAAATCGTTAATTTTCTGAATGTCAGTAACATTTTTCTGCACAGTACCTTTTGATAACTAATTTATTCACTGTGCCATTGTGTTAATTAGTTCCCCAAGGACCCGATTCAGATGGATTCAAACAGAATACTCTTCTGGAACTGCAAACTGGGCTATTGATAATGTGATCCTTGCCTCAGCGTGCCCCTGGATGTGTTCTGGTCATGGGATTTGTGACATGGGTCATTGTGTGTAAGTATGAAAACATCATTCCTTTGATGTTGTCGCTGTTGTAAAGTCTGTTTAGCCACTGCCTCCAATCTATTACAATCCAATCTGATAAAATATCAGATCTAAACAGACTGAAAATATTTTCAATTTTATTCATTTCAGCTCTTGAAGTTTTGAATATTGACAGTTGATTAACTTAGACCGTGATAAATTAATTCCAAAAGGGCACTGACCCCTAACCAAAATAACCCTGTCACTTCATTATTGCCAATGAATAACAATTTGCTGCATCCAGCCCTGATTATAAGGAAATGATTTCGGGTGACAAGACTTTGGGGCAATATGTGTTTATGCTGCCCAATCAAAGCTTTATGTAGGATAGTCTGTTAAAAAAAGAGTTAATTATTTAGAAAATTTTCAGATGGATTCCTAATACAAGCCAAAATACAGAGGCTCGCTGCCCATCAAATATACATGACAAAAAACTACTTTAAATCTACGGTAGTTTCACTGTCCAGCACTTGGCCCTTAGCCTTGAACATTATGACGTTTCAAGTGCTCGTCTTAGTATTTTTTAAAGGTTGTGAGGTTTCCCACCTCAACTACCCTCCCAGGCTATGCATTCCAGGCTCTCACCATTATCTGGGTGAAAAATGTTTCCCTCAAAGCCCCTCGAAACCTCCTGCATTTCACCTTAAAGGTATGGTCATTTGTACTGACCCTTCAACTAAGGAGAACAGCTGCTTTCTATCCAACCTGTCCTAGTCCCTCATAATCACTCTGTAGTTGTGACTTGCAAAAGAAAGTGATGCATGGTTATGTTTCCACTTCCTTTGCTTGAAGTTGCTCAATATTTAGAAGCTTTTCTTTCACCTTCTTGAACGCAATTATTTATTAGTAAAATAGAGCTAAGTTGTGTTGTTAGCCAGGTAACAACAAATTGTCCACCTATTTATATAGCTCCTCCAAGAGAGATTTGTACATGAGAATTGCAATATAAATTACACAGACAGAAAATACAACAAGATGGAATGAGTAGGTTTTCAGAATTAAAACACTAATAGTTGACATTAGATTTACTATTCAGTCTATCTATTTGCTTTAATTGCCTCACTAGATCCTGACAATTCAAAGCTTATTTCTGTTGATCAAAAGAATATTAATTGTTTAATTTATCAAGCTTGCTTTCTTAGAAGAAAAGTAATGCAGCTAAACTCAAAGGAGCTAGGAGCAGTACCTGCCCTGAAGCTCAATGCCATCAGTTCCTAAAGGCTTTATGAACACTGAATGATTGAATGCTTTTGGGAACAGAATGACTGAAAGGAAGACTTTTAATTGATGCTTTTCTGGGAGCGAGTCTTAGTTTGTCTTTGCTAAAGTGTCAGGAGAGGCAACAGCAGGTATAACAAACGGTGCTGTCTAAACCCAGAGGAATATATTTTGGCTGGACTGTAACAGTAGAAGAGTACGTAACCTTTGTGGCAGTGTGTCTGATGTTTAGATTTTTCATTGAATCCGTACAGCCTGCATCATATTTATTGTATTTCATGTAATTGAAACTAGCTTTGGTTGAAGTTCTTTTGGATTCCATTTCAGAGACCTTGTTAGAAATATATTCATGAAGGTGGGATCAAACCAATCAATGGAAATGTGCATGACCTTCTCCAGTTTGGAGTACCCAGGGAGATACTTGAAAATTGGTATGAATCTAGTATTAGATTCACCTTTTCCTGCTGGCTAAAAGTTTTCCAAACTTTTAAATGTCTGGTTCTACAGGCGGTGCTGTTGGAATTATTGTGAGGCAGTGCATTAGAGGAGTTGAACTTGTAGACTGCCTACATGCCTTACACTGTGTGAGGAATGCGGTCACCTTTTAAATTCATGAACACAAATGAAAGGTTAGTTTCTAATAGTACAGAGAAGGAGCGAGAAGTCGAATAAAAAATGCGCGCAAAGAGATAAAGTTAAATAATGACTCAGCATAGGATAAAATAAAATGATTTTCATCAGCAAACTAATCTCAGTCATTTGGGTTTTACTATTATAGTTCATAGTGTGATTTGAGCTGTTCAATCTAATATTTCATAATCATGTACCAATATATACAAACCTCTATTGTATGACATTGAAATTATTTATAATTCAATTTCCTAATTTGGAATGATTTTGTTACGACCCACTCGGGAAAGTGCACTGATTCTCAAGCCCCACTACTTGCTGGGTCACCACAAAAGTAAGCAAAGCATGCAAAGTCTTCAATTTAGCTGTCTCTTGGAATCAGGTTAACAGAAAACAGGTTCCTGTACTTAACATGAACTACTATTTATTACAAATAAGTAAATTCTAATCACAAATAAACAACTATGAATTATCATTATATGGCTGTACTAATTAAAACTCTAAACCTTTTTTCAAACCCCTATACAAACATTCAGAAAGACACAAAAAAATCTTGATTTTATGAGTAGAGGGAAATAAACTGGGACACACCGCTTAATAGTGCCAGTCCACTGGGTTCATTGAGGTATTCATTTTACTTGCCAGGGCTTTTTGTTCTTCAATCACTTTTCTCCAGGTTCTTTCACTTCTTGTAGGAGGCACAGGTGATTATTTCATTAACTGCAAAATCTTTTAGTTATTGGTTAAAGGCAACAACTTACAGCAACTCGTGTGAGAAAATCTGGCTTTCTTCAGGACCCTTCTTAGGGCAATGCTGCCTGGCCTGCTGTGTTCCTCCAGCTCCACACTGTGTTGTTTCTGAATCGAGCATCTGCAGTTCTTACTATCTCTGAGGGGTTTACTTTGATTGCCTTCAGGAATGAGCCAGAGAATGACTGTTTCCTATTTTGTTAAGTTGAAAAAGCCAAAATATGTGGATATTTCTGTCTGCAAACATCAGGGCCCTGTGCATTAATATGTATAGTTTCCAGTATGCACAAGTGCGCCATGCTGTGAGCTCAACTGGCAATCTTAAATTGGTAGTCAGCATAATTCTTAGCACACTTTGGTTTATTTAACAAATGTTGTCTAATTGCAGTATCACTTCCAATGCTGGACACTGTGTTTTGCGTTTTGCAAGCATGGGCAGGTTGGGTATGTTCAGTACCTTGTGTAGTATGAACAGTTGAAATACTGATGTTTGATACAATCTGCCAGTCTTTGATGTATTCCTACTATCATGCTGGCACTGAAATTCATATGACACATTACTTTGTTATGCAATTTTTGGCAGCATCCTGTTAGTAGGGAACACTACTCAAGTTGCTACCACAGGTAGTGGGTTCTGGAGAGAATCTACATAGGTTTACAAAGTAAAAGAATTTAACAGCATTGCGGGGCAGCAATTTAGGTAATTATATTGTCACTGGAAATCAAGCCCAGCTTTTCCTGCAGTCATCCCAAAGTTAAAGATTTTTAAAAGTACACAGAATTCCCCAATTTAACTGTCTTTTAGACCTGGGTTGACAGAACAGTTTTCAGTACTTAACAAAAATTGCAATTTATCAGAAATGATTAGACTCTAGCTCCAGGTAAACAGTTAAGAACCATCAGCATATCACTCTACTAATTAAAGCTTTAATCCCTTTATAAGGGATTAAATAAAACCTTACACTTATACATGGAGACAGAAAAATATAACGCATGTAATGGACAGAGGAAAAGAATGAGAAGGCAGTTCAATGATTCTTGTGCTGGTCAATAGATGTGGTTTACTTGAACTTTCAGAAACTTTTGACAAGATCCCACGTAAGAGAGTAGCATGTAAAATTAAAGTGCATGGAATTGGGGTAGTGTACTGACATGGATAGAGACCTGGTTGGCAACAGGAAATGGATAAACAGGTCTTTTTCCAAGTGACAGGCAGTGATTAGTGGGGTATGTCAGGGATCAGTGCTTGGGCCCCAGCTATTCACAATATATTTTATCGGTTTAAATGAGGAAACTAAATGCACTATCTCCAAGTTTGCAGACTACTCAAAGCTGGGTGGCAGAATAAAGTCTGAGGAGGATGCAGAGAAGCTTCAGCATGAACTGGACAAACTGAGAGAGTGACAAAAGTAGATGAAGTATAATGTTGGTAAATGTGAGATTATTCATTCTGGTAGCAAAAAAAAACAGGAAGGCACATTATGATCTAAATGGTGATAGATTGAGAACAAGGGAGGTGCAGTGAGACTCAGGTATCCTTGTATGCAGGAAGAGGAATGCCTTGCTACAGTTGTCCAGGGTCTTGATGAGACCATACCTGCAATATTCTGCGTAGCTTTGGTTATACCTGAGAAAGGATTTTCTGGCTTTGGAAGGAGTGCAGCAAAGGTTTGCCAGACTGATTCCTGGTATGGCAGGATCAGTTAGGGCTATATTCACTGAAGTTTAGAAAAATGAGGGGGGTAATCTCACAGAAATCTATAAAATTCTGACAGAACCAGACAGGATAAATGCAGGAAGGATGTTCTTGATGACCCAGGAGTCCAGAACCAGGGGTCATAGTTTAAGGATACAGGATAGGCCATTTAGGATTGAGATGGAAATTTCTTCTCTTAGAGAGTAGTGAGCCTGTGGAATTCTCAGCCACAAAGCACTGTGTGTTGACAAGAAAGAGTTAGATATAGTTCTTAAGACAAAAGGGATCAAAGGGTATGGGGAGAAAGTGGGAACAGGATACTAAGTTGGATGATCAGCCAAGATCATATTGAATGGTGGAGCAGGCTTGAGGGGCCGAATGGCCTACTCCTGTTCTTATTTTCTGTGTTACTATGCTACTTCTTAGTCATCCTTCTCCCAATGCTTCCATGGGCTTATGACTGGATGACTCTAAGAGAAACCAGGTGGCTGGTTCACTAATAAAAGTTCTCTCTGACCTATCAATCATAAATTGCAGCTTATTAGCAATGGCTGAAGGAAAGACGGATTGATTTCCTACAGGCTTAAAGTGGTCTTTACTGCAGAAAACAGAGAGAGCTCCTGGGCTGGTGGAAGCCTGAAGGCTTCTCACTACCTTGTTCATAGCCCAAATCCTTTTAGCTACCTGAGAACTAATCACATAATTGTTGGCAGGCAGAAGGCCTTTGTCATCACGAACTGGTCATGCAATCTTAGCATTTCTTAAACCTTTGACTTATTCCAAAATTTTACACATGGGTGCATCAGAAATTGCATTATCTTTTCCAGAAGTTTGAATGATTTTTTATTAAATGATTGCAACAAAAGATTCCATCTGAATAGCCTTACATTCCAAACTATAAACTTTTCAATGAAGGCCAATGGATTATGATCAATATAAACTATTTTAACTGGCGCTTTAGGAACCATCACTCTTGATAAACTGACAAAAATTATATATCTCAAATACCAGAAGTTTACTGTAGTATTGTGATCTCTGTGATATCAAAGTAGTCAGTTGAAGATATGAGTGAGAAGGCTGTTATATTTAATGCAAAGTTGCGTTATTATTTCTATGATTTATACTGTATATAAAGTATAATAGTGATGTGTATGCTCCTGCATTATGTTTCCATAACTTAGTGTGTGGTTTTACATTGATTATGTGGACCTCTTGATCAACTGGTACATTCCTAGGCTCTAGGTGCTGGATAATAAAATGTTGGCTGTATTTTCTTATTACCATGTTGGACAAAGACTTTAAAGTGTTGAAGAGCCTACAATAATCCCAGTGTTTTTTTTCTACAATGGAACACCTTCTCGATAGATGGATCTTGGAAAGGAATAAGGCACTGTCAACACTATTGATGCAATCTTCCAAATATGGAATTGGGTACAAATCTCTCTTTATAATACCCAGAGTGGGACAGAAGGGATGGCATCTACAAGCATTTTTAAAAAGCAGAAAATAGGGTCAAAAGTGGCAAAATGATAAAAAGAGAAAATTAGTGGCTCTTCATCTAAATGCATGTAATATTCAGATCATTACAAATATATTAACAGCATAAAAAGAAACAAACCTTACTGATCTTAAATTATTTTATTGATCATAAATAATTTGATTGCCATAAGACAGAAATGGTTATAAGAAGACTAAAGCTGGGAACAAAATATTCAGGAGCATGTGACTTATGGAAAGGACCAGGCAGGAAGGAAAGATTGGTGAGTTAGCTTTGTTAATATGAGATGGAAATAATGTAATAGCAAAAGATCTTGGATTGAAAGATGTATGGGAATAAATGTATAAGAATAAATCAGGAGATAGCAAAGGCATGTAAAAAGGCAGTATATTAATCATGGGTGACTTTAACTTTTATGTAGATTAGGAAAATCAAATTGGCAGATGTGTCCATGAGGACGAGCTCAGAGTGTATTTGCAACAGTTTCCTAGAACAAAATGATCCTAGATCAAACCAGAGATCAGGCTTTATGGATTTGGGAATGTGTAATGAGACAAATTTAATAAATAATCTGAGACTAAAAATATCTCCTATTAAACAGTGATCATAACATGGTTGAATTTAGCATTCAGTTTGAGAGTGAGGAACATGGGTTGGTGACGGGGAACCAAAAAATGGCATAGGAATTGAATCGATACTTTGCATCGGACTTGATGACAGAAGATACTAATAATGTTCCAAAAACACTAAATAATCAAGGGGGGAAAGAGGGGAGAAAATGCATATAATAATCACTAGAGAGAGGACCTAGGGAAATTAATGGGGCTAAAGGCTGATTAGCCCCTTGAACCAGATGGGTTGCATGCTAGGATATTAAAGGAAGTGGCAGCAGATATAGTGGCTGCACTGGCAACAGTCTTCCAAAAATCTTTTAGGTTCTGGATTGGAAAACTGCCAACGTAACATCTTTATTCAGAAAAGGAGGATCACAAAAACACTAGTAACCACAGATCGGTTAGCTTAACATCTGTTATTGGTAAAATGTTGGAGTCTTATATAAAGAATGTAATAGCAGAACATTTAGGAATACAAAATATAATCATGCAGAGTATGCATGGCTTCATGAAGGGGAAATCATGCTATCTAAATTTTATATAATTCTTTGAGGGCGCAACTACTATGATAGATGAAGGTGAACCAGTGGATGTAATATATTTGGATTTCCAAAAGGTGTCTAATGAGTTACCAATATAACTCTACTATATAAGTGTCCGTGGAATTGAGGGTAATGTTTTATTATGGATAGAGAATTGGTTAACTAATAGAAGATGGAGAGTTGAGATAATGGGAGCATTTGCAGGATAGCAGCCTATAAGTTGTAGAGTACCACAGGGATCAGAATGAGGAACATGAATGTACATTACCCAAAGTTACAGAAGACAAAAAAAAGGTGGGAAGCAATTGGTGATGATGACAGAAAGGAATTGTAGAGGAATATAGAAAAGTTACATGAATGGGCAAAATTTGTCAGATGGAATATAATGTGGGAAAATATAAGGTAATGCACTTTAGCAGGAAGAAAAGACTGCAGAAAGCTGCAGCATAGAGGCAGTTAGGAGTTCTTGTGCATAATTGTCCAGAATCTGTTATACAAGTTCAGCAGGTAATAGGGAAAGCAAACTAACTGTTGGCCTTTATTTCAAAGGGGATGGAGCATAAAAATAGGGGAATCTAGCTAAAACTGTACAAGGCATTATCATTGAATATTTAGCTGTTTTATATTTATCTCACTAGTTAAAGTGACATGCTGTGCCACAACCTTTTCACATTTTGCTGCATTTTCTGATGGGTGTTTCCTTTCACTTTCAGATGTGACAGTGGCTTTGGAGGACGTAACTGTGTGCCCTTTCTTCCATTGCCATCAATTCTCAAAGACGACTTTAATGAGAAACTACACCCTGATATTTGGCCTGAGGTTCTTGGAGCAGAGCGAGGGAACTTGGATGGGGAGATCATCAAATCTGGAACAGCATTGGTCTTTAAAGGGGTTAGGAATTTGTCATTGTTGCTTACACTGTAGTTGAATATGTTTAAGCTAAGGTACAAGCCCATTCCTCTTGTTAACAGTGGGATGTATTTGAAAATGCATGGAGATTACAGTCACATTTCACACTATGTAGGGATGGCAAGCCAGGTTCCCCGTTGTGAGCTCAGTTTTGTGACCTTGACCTTTGTACTTTTGGCAAAGAGAATAGTTTTGATATTTTAACCTGCAGTAAAAAGTTTGACCAAGAGCCCTACCTCATGACTTGCTGTGTAGTATCATTTATCTCACAACACTTTGTGCTGCAGTTATTGACCATTTAAACCCTTCTCATTATTGGATGCACTTGATTTTACACAGTACCAATATGCTAAGGAGAGCTAAGACTATGATATTTTCATCAATACCAACCTCACTCTCCCTAATAATGATGTTTTAACCTCTTGCCTCTATATGTTTATGTATCACCCTGTATCAACTCCTCATCTGGACTGCCAGCATTAATTCAATGAATCTTGATGGGTGTATTCGGTGATAGAGTTGTGACACAATAGAGACATTTCTGCTGTCTTACTCACTGCAGGTTGGATTTTGTCCATTCTATTGAGGTTAATTTGAAGGCTGGACCAGGAACAAAGCCAGAAATTGGGGTGTAGTACCGGACTCCTTCCCACCTCAAGGTGGTCTTCCCAGAAATGGGTGAAAAGTGCTGGTAGCTCATCTGCCCTGTAGTATGTGACTGCTTAGATCAATTAAATGCCTCATTTGGTCGCAGGGGTGGGAAGGTGAAGATAGTGAAGACTCTGCCAGGATCTTCTGGCACCATTTTGTGGACCCTGCATGCTCACTTACTCTAGTAGTGTCATCTGCCCTGGCAAGACTGACAGCAATCCTCACCTAGGGAATACAGACCAGGTATATGAGGCTAGTGGCTGGTGAGAGGGGATGGGGCAAGAATCTGCCACAAAAGGTAAGAAGCAAGTGGCTACAAAGGAGATAGAGGAAGAGAAACAGAGAAGGAGGGAGGCTGACATGGGGTCCCTGTCAACAAACAAATCCATGGTTAACTGGAATGAAAGAGAACTAAAAGCCACAGCTAATGAATGCTTTGCAAATTAAATTTTTTTAAATAAAATGCCAGTTATTGAAACAAAAACCTTTGCTAATTTATGTTTGGTGCCTTATGCCAATTCAAATATTGTAAAAGCTAGGAAATTTAATCTTTTCTTGTGTGTTTGCAGTGGCTATGAGTTTAATGGAATGTTGATAATCATTGAGGATATTGATGAATTCTTTTAATTCTGCTTCTGAGAGTCCAGATTCCTCATATGTCAACACAAATACGTGATTGCATCACACTTAATGAAGACTTGGTGAGGATGAATAAGTAGCCCTTGAATCTGAATGTACTGCCTGTGAGAGATAACACAGTATGGAGCTGGAGGAACACAGCAGGCGAGGCAGCATCAGAGGAGTAGGAAAGTTGACATTTCGGGTCGGGACCCTTCTTCCCAACCCGAAACGTCAACTTTCCTGCTCCTCTGATGCTGCCTGGCCTGCTGCATTCCTCCAGCTCCATACTGTGTTATCTCTGACTCCAGCATCTGTAGTGTATGCTGGCCTGCCTGTGAGAGTAGTTGAGGCAGGATACCTCACAACCTTTAAAAAGTACTTAGATGAGCATTTAAAATGTCATAACATTGAAGGCAATGGGCCAAGTGCTGGAAAGTGATGTAGATTTAGAGCAGATTTTGTTGGTGCAGATTTGATGTGCTGAAGGGCCACTGTATTGTATGATGCCATGATTCTAAGAAAAATCTCAAGAATAGCTTGGGGAAAAAACATATTTTGATCCCTACAGTTTAAATTTTCAGATGGCTCAATAAATTATTATCTTTACTTTAGATTTCACCTGAATCTAATCATTAAAAATCTTTTAAATGTATATTTACTTTTAAAATGTGTGAAATCTTCGATCTAGAAAAAGCTGACATCCAGATTTGTGAAATTTGCTTCTCGGTAGCAAGTGAATGTGTTTAGCATTAATTATCAAGTTAGCATGCTGTTAAAAATCCAGTTATATCTCATTCAACGAGGTGTACCATTTTGAAAGGTTTTGTGCAACAAGACTTAACAGCTAGGAGTTGATTATTCTCCAACAATTTATTGATTTCCCATTAATTGCAGTTGGGAGAAACCTTCACAATTCACCTTCTGGAAGCATTCACTGATAGCAAGTTCTGGATTTCCAGATTATTCCACACTGCGCAGACTCCAGAAATTGTCAGTTTCAATGGAGTAATGATTGTGAATGCTGACAATTTCGTTATTATTACCACCAAAAAAAAAGTGATCATTAATGTGTCTCAAAATAGTTGGCAGCTCTGGTGCAGGCATCAAAAGAAAGTTGCCCTCCTCACTCATGAATAAACAATAATTCCATGTCAACATATTGCATAATTTTAAATAAATGTATATCTTGTGTAGCTCTGTAGAGTTAATAAATTCTGAACCGGTTTGAACCCAATCAGATTTATTTCTGTTCATCAGCAGACCACCTTAAATCAGTGTTTACTAGACAGCTGTCTAAATCTGCACTATATTTCACCTTATGACAAAGAAGCTTTCGTTAATGCAACATTGCGCACCTAATAACTTCATCCAAAAAGACCCTAACATGTCTAAATTTAATTGTAATTTTCACAAATGATCCAAAGTCACTTAAAAAAGAAAACTAAAGTTTATACATATACTATACTCCAGAGCACATATGGTGCCGACCAGTCTGTGAAATGACAGCTTCCTCTTGAACATGAAATGTGAGCTGTTATTTTATCTGCCTTGTTTCTGCCTAATTTCCTCTTAACAAAAAAGTCTCTCAATAGATCATTTTTTCATTTGCAGCTTTTGCTCCTGACCAGTATAAAGAAGCTACTGTCCACATTAGTGTGATATAATTTTGGTAGATCCTAACAATGGTGTAATTTAAATACTAATCCATGTCATGCATCTGCCCCAAAAGGCATGAGATACAATCACTCTTTTGAAGACTGGACTGATAGAAAATAATTCAACTGCCTCAACACTCTCAACAATGGCGACTAATAGAATCGCTATAAAGATTACCTCATTTATCATAGTCATTTTGGCTTTAAGTAGAAGGCAATGACAATAAAATAAAGTAAATGAAGTATAATCCTTTGTGGGGTGCAGTAAACTTTCTGCCAAAAGTTAGATTTTAAATGGTAATAAAATTACTTTCACTTTGTTGAATTGACACAGCAGATGTACTGTGTTCATACTCTTAACACACTGCACTGTGTTATTGGACACTGTTTCCTTCAACATATAAATATAGATGAGTTAATTAAGATATCTGTTCATGTCAAATTATTTGTCAGTATTTTTGAAAGTAACAACAGATTCTCAAGCTCATTTCTAAATTGCACTTTGCAGGAATATTGTTAGCAATCTGCATGCTTTTTGTACAACGACAATCTCATTAGTTCAAGCCACTCATTTATCTCTTTATTTCCTGCAGGAGGGATTGAGGATGTTGGTTTCCAGGGACCTCGAGTGCATAAACACTTTGTACATTCAATTCTCATTCAAGTTCTTAGCTAAAGGTGTGTTTATCTTCTTTTTGTCAGTACGAAAATTGAAAAGAATCTCAAGTGGTCAAAGTGTCTGTCAGGTGGAACATTTAGACCTTGTGTTGCAAAGATAAAAACAATGTGGCAAATATTATAAAGTATCTATATATGTATAAAATAAACACATGAAATGGAGCAGGAAGTGCCATAAATGCTGTAGGTTAGTGTGCATCTGAGAGGAAAACACAGACTAATTTTTCAAGTTGGATCCTTCACCAATCCTGATTGTTGTTGTAACTCAAGGGAAAGTCAGAAAGTTCCACTGCAATTTTTCTCGCCCATTTCTACGCTGTCCGGAAATCATTGACTCTAGGGCTATTGTAGCACTGTCACTAGTTGCTTTTCCGTACCTCACTCAATGTAGATCTTCCATATGAAACACTTACAACATTATGTCAATTAATTGCAGAGGGCATTGCTGACAAGCCCAAAGGCTTCACTCATACTAGCAATGATGAATGTGATATTACTTGCCCCCCCCCTCTCCATGGACCATAATATCTATTCTGTGATGTAATGGCACAAGAGCTGATACTAATATTTTAGATCAGACAGGAAGGATGTAGGTTTGCACTCCTGATCTTTTACCTGATGCGTTCCTGTGCTGGGCTTTCAGGAAGACATTGAGCAAGGATTAGGTGTATCTTCATGGGGGTTGAGACAGAAGATAATGTTTGATGGCAGCTTATGCCAGGCTGCATTCTTGCATCTCCTCAAGATCAATAGCCTTTCCTATGACTGTTCACTAACGCATAGTAAGAGGTAACCTCAAAGAGACAAGGAGAGAAAATTAGATGTTCCAAGAAATTACTGAGCACATATTGTTAGAATAAAAGAAAATGCCCAAAAGCATCCTCTGCATTAATGGTAAGATATATTGGAGAGAATCCTGGAAAATTCTGTGAGAATTCTGGAGTAACTGTTACTAACAAGCTGGTATAAGCAAGTTAAACTGAAAGATGGGTCATGCCATGAATCAAGATAACTATTTAGCAATTGAGCTGAATAATTTATTTATGGCAACATTTGGACACCCATTTATATTCTTAATCCTTCAGAGAAAAGGAAACATTTTAATACATACTTGAAAACAAGTGACAAGATGGATTTTTTTCACCTCTCGTTAGATGGAATGCTTTTTCATGGATTGCACATAAGTTCTTCAAAGAGCTACAACCAATTAATGCAAAGTGTATATAGGATTGGGATAACGCTCTCTATCATGATGTGGCTGACCAATTTTAATTAAATGTATCAACTTGCCCTTTGAATAAATCTCATCAATGCTGGATTATTATTCTGAGTTTATATATAAATAAAGATCAAAAGAATTTCTGTGATTAGTGTCATCTCTAAATGTTGAATCCAAAAGCAAAGAAATTTGTCACTTCTGTTTCTGTTGCCTCGCAAAACATTAAATTCCATCTGCAATTTGAAATGCCAGAATACGTTTCCATCAATTTACTGTTTAATTTAACGGGATTTTATTCATTTTTATTCCTCTCATTTTATTGTATTTTGGTCCTGTCTTGATTGCTCCCTTTCGACTACTACCACCACCACCCCCATGATTCCCTTGTGTGACAGCAGTGGTCTTTAGCTCAGCCTTTTTCCTTGTCGTACAGTCTAGTTCAGGAAGGCACTTCTTTGGGAAATTCAAGAAACCTGGAACAGTGACTGTCCAGATGTTTTACAGGCAACATTTCTCATAGGTAGAATGGGCAGGGAAGAACAGTCACCTTGTTGTGTATACATTACACAGAAGTGTTATATATAACCCATTGGGTTACAACATATATTGTTTCCATTCTTTCATAGGATATAAGTGATACTGTTATTGCCCATCTCTAATTGCCCAGATGGTGGTGATCTGTCTCCTTGAATTGCTGTGGTCCTTGGGATGTAGGGTCATCCACAGTGCTGTTAGGATACATTCACTGGTTTCAGGCAGAAAACTTCTTTACATTTCACAGTAGCTATTTCAATATGGTATGCATTTCAAAATATCTACAGCTGGTTGCTGATGCAAAGTGTCGGTTTCAAAAATTTGTCTAAAGATATCTTAGTTTGAGGAATACACTTTCATCATGAGAATTGTTTCTAAAATTTGCCATGTTATTTCCATGATTTGGGGAGTGGAGTAATCAGATTGGTTATTATGTCATGAAAGCCTTCAACAGTCAATCTCCTGTAGTTGCTAATTGCGTATGTGGTGAACTTCTTCAGCTCTCAGTGAGACTTCTCAGTGGGGAGCTACTGACATTTTATGGCATTCAAACTAAACTTAAGAAGCTTTCTAAAATGAAATGTATTTAGTATCTATGATCAATTGTAGGTAATCTAATTACTATATATGCTTTTAACTGAATTGTTTTGATGGCAATTTTTTTGTCCCCAATTCTGTGTTTTGATTCAGGTGTCCCTGATCGGTCACATTCTGTACTGCTGCAGTATTCCATCAATGGTGGCATAACCTGGCATTTGATGGATGAATTCTACTTCCCTCAGACAACAGCGATCCTCTTTATTAACGTTCCTTTACCACACACAGCCCAGACCAATGCAACTCGATTCCGCCTCTGGCAGCCCCACAATGAAGGTAACAAGCTGGAATCATGTTTAGATGCCTCATTGTTGAATAGCTCTGGGGTCCCTCAGAGAGCTCAACTTCCATTTTTAGTGGCAATTAATTCAGTCAATTTGCTAAAAGCTTACAGAATCAATGTTGATTTCCAGAACACATGTTCTATTTGATGTTCTTATTACTTATAATTGATAACTTATAAGGTATTTGAGGTTGAATACATGGAAGGATTACAGACAATTTTTTTTCCTGTTAATGTTAGTGTTTATGCTTCCTGTCTTTAGTAAATGATCTGGTTTTGAACAGCACAGGCAGGTGCAGATTAAAGATCACTCGATTTTGCCCCAGCATTGTCTGCACCCTATTTCAAAGAGCCATTTTGTTACATTTCCATTTCTCAAATGTTGCAGTGACCAAACTGAACTTTGGAATATTTCTTTGAGGAGCACAAAGACACTGCACATCAGATGCAACTCCAGCTCCCCATTTCATTCATGCATAAAATGGTCAAGAACCCAAACAAATTGGCTTCATAAAACATAACCCTATTAAAATACCACATTCAGAGGCAGAAAATAGCTAATGTTAGTATGATTGGTACCATAACATCTTACCTAGTCAGTTCTGCATTTATTCCAGTGCTAGAAAGCAAATCACCCATCTTCTTAACTTAGTAAATAATATCACAATGATTTTATAAACATGATCTGATTTCCAGATTATTGTACTGTCACTGAAAATGTTAAACCTTAATGAATAATAGTATAGTTGGATTTGTAAAATAATTTTTATTTTGACTACTGATTAAAATTAAGGAAGGTAAGTTAAAGTAGATTTGTGTTCATTGACCTTTATATCTCATTCTTTGACTATGATAGCTTTTGTGTACAATGATAAGAATGTTGGATTGGCAGCAAATCTAGATCTTGCATCAGCATTTAAAAATCTTTAAGAAAGTACTGAATGAAATGGTTTGCTTTATTTTTATGGAAATCTGAATTGGTTAAAGATGGAATAGAAAGAGAAATAATTATGCTTCAATACATAGTTATAAAATTGCACAGAATTAAAATTGGATTTCTAATTAAGTTGCACAATAAGCAGTTTGTTTGACTGCCAAGAAATTGAAGTCAACTCCTTTATGATTTTCTGTTCAATGACAAAGGGAAAAAGGAAGAAATCTGGATCATCGATGACCTCATTATTGATGGGAATAATCAGAACAATCCCGGCATATTGTTGGATACATTTGATTACGGACCCAAAGAGGAGAACTGGTTCTTCTACCCTGGTGGAAACATTGGCCTCTATTGTCCCTATGTATCAAAAGGAGCCAGGTAAGAATAAGCACTTTGCCTATGGATGACGTTATCGCTTGTTGTCGGTGTAAAGTTCTCATAAGCTAAACCAAAGGCTAGGCAAAACACTATAATGTCCACGCCCACTCTCTCTCCTTTCTAAGTCTCCTCCTTCAAGATGCTTCTTAACTCTACCTCTGAACTCAAATTTCTGCTTATGTGGCTCAGCGTCAAATTTTGTCTGATTACATTCCTGTGAAAGGTCATTGGATGTTTCCTATGTTAAAGGCAGTATATAAATACAAGTTCTTCTTATTGATGGTTACGGTTGATTTCTTTAATGTGACTATTCTGAAACCGTTGTTCAACATAACATCCTTCACAATAAGTAATTATTTTGTAAAATATATTTAAATTACTAAATGACTTGGCATAATTCATTTAGTAATGGGAAAATCTATTGTGCTGAACACCAAAGAACTGTGACGTTGTAATAGAAAGCAAACTTGGTCTTGAAGTACATCAATGCCAAAACCTGTTCATACTTTTAAAATGTCAGCCACTTCAACTCCCCGTCCCACTCCTTGGACGATATGTCAACCATTTCAACTCCCCCTCCCACTCCTTGGACGACATGTCCATCTTGGGCCTCCTCCAGTGCCACAACGATGCCACCCGAAGATTGCAGGAACAGCACCTCATATTTCGCTTGGGCACCCTGCAGCCCAATGGTATCAATGTGGACTTCACAAGCTTCAAAATCTCTCCACCCCTAACATCATCCCAAAACCAGCCCAGCTTGTCCCCACCTCCTTGACCTGTCTGTCTTTTCTCCCACCTATCCGCTCCTCCCACCTCACTGACCAACCCCCACCCCCACCCCCACCTCCTACCTACCAGCCTCATCCCTGCCTCCTTGACCTGTCCTTCTTCCCTTGACTGACCAACACCCATCCTAACTCCCCACCTACACTTATCCCCGCCTCCTTGAGCTGTCCGTCTCCTCTCCACCAATTTGCTCCTTTATCCACCTTCCATCCGCCACCCCCCCTCTCTATTTATTTCAAAATCCCCTTCCCCTCCCCCATTTCTGAAGAAGGGTCTAGACCCGAAACGTCAGCTTTCCTGCTCCTCTGATGCTGCTTGGCCCGCTGTGTTCATCCAGCTCTACACCTTGTTATCTCATGGTTTTAAAATACCTGGATCAGGCTCTTTTCTATCATTTTCTATCAACTCATCACAACAGTATTCTCAGGTATTTTGCAGAGACCTTCTACTTAATGTGTAGTGGAGCCAGGAGGAGAAAGTGTGTTTCTCCTGGCTTCCCATTAAATTTACAGGCCACTGCTTTGAAGCAGTATTATTATAGCATTGCTGTCAATTGATTTGATTGCAGTGACCAGGCCCTCCCTTTGTATAGTTTTGATTTACTTGTCAGTGTGCAGCTTTGATATTTTGGTTTGTTTCTCCATTGTCAAGGGAGGAAGATTCCGCCATCGTCTTTGTGTCAAACGTAGTTGGGGAACATTCCATTACTACTCGCGATCTGGATGTCAATGAGAATACCATTGTTCAGTTTGAGGTAACAACAATTGGAGATACTTACTTCTGCCTCAGGCTGTTAAGTTCACCACCTTTTTTCCACATGTCACAACACTGAGGTTAGAATTACATAGGGAGCATATCAACTCTAAAAATATTTGAGGGCAGCAGGCAAATTCATCACCAAAAGTGGCCAAATTACCCAGGACAATTCAATAATGGAGATGACTAGTCAGAGAAAATTCACAAAAAACGGAAAGAACTGCAGATGATTCCCTACAGTGTGGAAGCAGGCTATTCAGATCATCAAGTCCACACCAATCCTTCAAAGAGTACCCCACGCATGGCTGACCCACCTAACACTACGGGACAATTTAACATGGCCAATCCACCTAACCTTCACATCTTTGGACTGTGGGAGGGAACAAGAGCACCCAGAGGAAATCCACGCAGACATGGGGAGAATCCACAAACAGCACACAGACAGTCGCCTGAAGCTGGAATCTGGTGCTGTGAGGTAGCAATGCCAACCACTGAGCCACCATGCTGCCCTGCTGGAAATCAGAAACAAAAACAGAAATTGCTAAAAAAACACTCAGTAGATCTGGCAGCATCTGCAGAGAGAAAATAGAATTAACATTTCAGATCCGGTGACCCTTCTTCTGAACAGGGAAAATTCGTGCCTGATAGGCTCATAGTGAACCTATTGGCCAGCAAAGTGGGAGGGAAGCAGTGTGTGATTGGAGGACCAGTGATAAGGTGAGTTGCAGCAGTAAGCAAATCTGCTGGGGCCAGATGCAGACAGGTTGAAGGCTGTGGGCCCGGAGATGGAGGGGCCAGAGGCAGAGGGACTGGAAGAAGATGGGCTGGAGCAAGCAGGACCACAGAAGAGGGGCCTGTTCTGTGTGAAAACTCACTTTGCCCCTAGCTTTTGCCATGTATGTGTCATCTATGATTCTATGACTTTATCACACCTGTAACGTACTACAAATTTCTTAGAATGCAATGATTGATTTGATAAAAAAATGAAATTGTTTAGCTATGACCACACAAGTCTGTGAAAAGTGTTTATGATGATAGCATTTTGTGCATAGGCATTTGTTAGTTATTTTTAAAAGAAACATTTACCGGTAACCTATGCCTGTTATTTCATGCTGATTTAAATATGGCGATGTTTGAAATTAATGTTTTCCTTGTGTTTTGGGGTTTTAAGTTTCATATAGTTGTCATATATTATTGAGGTTGTTGTTGAATTCTTCAAATTCTGCTTCCATGAAACCCAAATAGCCATTGCATTAGCACAAATATCAAAGCTGATGCTGCAATGACACTGCATCACCAAATAAAGAAGTTAGTAACAATGAAAGTATCCCCCAAGGAAACCTCAAGAGGAGTCCTCAGAAACTAATCTCTTGACCATTGGACTGTATCATGAGAACTGACGACTTAGAAATTCAGCTGTGCAAAACCTATTTTGTGAACATTAAACACATTATTTAGGTTCAGATCCTGGCGACTACCACGAGAGGTTTCTAGATTGTTCCCACCTGCAGAACCCACATAACGCAAAGTTCTGCAGTCTGAAAGAGGAACAAAATATAAACAGCCGCTAAAGTTGTCTGAAACAGAATGTCTTCTCAATATCCTAGGCTCACTGCTTTACTTTGCTAGGCCAAAAAGACATGCTGGAAGACAGTGGACACCTCCTTAGACCAATCTGTAACACAGCCCATAAATATTTAGAGTAAAATGGGTAAACCAAAAACAACAAAGGTATTAACCCATTTAAAATACCCCAGTTAATTTTTTTTTGAAAGACGTGGAGTACCAAACAAAACATCATTCAGCTAATATTGCCAATAATTTCTTGTAGCTAAAAATGATACACTTGTAATATAGAATCAATGATGAATACTGCACAATGCGTATACATATATTTTATCTTGGTAACAACACAGCTAGAAGATTTAATAAAAGAGCTCTTTTAAGAATATTTCAAAATTCCAATTCATATTTGTTGGACCGAAACCTTGTGGCAAGCCAATTGAAAACTATGTGAGAGTAATTGTTCAGACTTACCATACTTCAACAGAAATATGTAAAATCTTTATTATCAGTGAAAGAAATGTAAACTTAAATTATTTCCATTTGTGATGTCTATTTCCCTTATGATTTCAGATTAATGTTGGATGCAATACAGATAGTTCAGCCTTAGATCCTATTAGATTGGAGTTCTCACGGGATTTTGGAGCCACATGGCACTTGCTTCTGCCACTCTGCTATAGCAGCGGTCACATCAGTGCACTCTGTTCTACTGAACTCCATCCCAGCAGTACGTATTATGCTGGTACCACCCAGGGTTGGAAAAGAGAGGTAATCCACTTTGGAAGGCTCCATCTGTGTGGGTGAGTTCCTATTCCAGAACGTAAACACGACTTTCTTCTTTCTACACCAATAGAATCAGTCAATTTATGACTCAAAAATTCTTTCATAATTGGTTTCAAAGCTGCCTTAGTTTCTTACAATGTCCCTAGTTTTACTAGAATGATACAGAGCTGATACATAAGGCTATCATAGACCTGTGACCAGCGGTGTTTCACAGGGAGCACTTCTGGGTCCACTCCTGTTTGTCATTTATATAAATGATTTAGATGAGAGTATAGAAGGCTTGGTTAGTAAGTTTGCAGATGACATCAAAATTGGTGGTATGGTGAACAGTGAAGAAAGTTATCTGAGATTACTAAGAGATCTTGATCAATTGGGTCAATGGGCTGAGGAGTGGCGGATGCAGGTTAATTTAGATAAATGCGAGGTCTTGCATTTTGGTAAAACAAACAAGGGCATGACTTATACAAGTAAAAGGAGTCCCTTGGATAATGTTGTAGAACAGAGAGACCTAGGGGTTCAGGTGCACAATTCTTTGGAGCTTGCATCACATATAGACTGGGTGGTGGTGAAGAAGGCATTTAGCACACTTGCCTTCATTGCTCAGACCTTTGAGTATAGGAGTTGGGACGTTATGTTGAGGTTGTACAAGATGCTGGTGAGGCTTCTTCTGGAGTACTGTGTCCAGTTCTGTCGCCCAATTATAGGAGGGATATTATTAAGGTGGAGAGGATTCAGAATAAATTTACCAGGATGTTGCCGAGAATGGAGCGTTTGAGTTACAAGAAGAGGCTGAATAGGCTGGGACCTTTCTCAATGGAGCATAGGAGATTGAGGGGTGACCTTTTAGAGCTTTATGAGAGATATAGATAAGGTGTCTTTTCCCTAGGGTGGGGATTTCAAGACTAGGAGATATATTTTTATGGTGACAGGAGAAAGACTTTAAAAAGGCCTGAGGGGAATTTTTTTTACACAGAGAGTGATTTGTTTGTGGAATTAACATCTAGAGGAAATGGTGGATGCAGATACAGTTACAAGATTTAAAAGACTTTTAGATAAGTACATGAATAATAAATGTTTGGAGGGATATGGGCCAAGTGCAGGCAGGTGGGACTAGTTTAGTTTGGGATTATGGTCAGCATGGACTGGTTGGACCAAAGGGTCTGTTTCCATGCTGTATTTCTCTATGACTCTACAAAGATTGAAATGCTTTATGAGGAAAGATATAGGGAAGATGTTTCCATTTTTAGGCAAGACCTGAACTAGAGCTTATAAATATAAGATGATCATTGATAAATTCATCTGAGAATTCAGGAGAAATCGAAAGACTACCACAAAAATAGTTGAGTCAAAGAGAATAAACACATTTGAGGGAAAACAAATATAAGCACATGAAGAAGAAAGGAATAGAAGAATATGTTGCTAAGGTAGGTTAAGAATGGTGGGAGGAGGCTTAGTAGAGCAAAAGCAATAGTCGGGCTCTGTTGGGCCAAATGGTCCATGTCTGTGCTGTAAACACCAAATGAATTCTCCATAAAAGTACTATAGATGAGAACAAAGAACAATATAGCATAGGAACAGGCTCTTCGTCTCTCCAAATCTGTGCCGACACATTTTACCCTTCCATATTAAACTGTCTTCGCTTACAGGATCCATATCTCTCTGTTCCCTTCCTGTTTGTGTATTCGACCAGGTGCTTCTTGAGTACTGCTATTGTGTCTGCTTCCACCACCTCCTCTGGATGTGCGTTCCAGGCACTCAACACCCTTTGTGTGAAAAACTTGCCTTGCACATCTCTTTTAAACACCACCCCCCACATCTTGAACCTGTATCCCCTAGTAATTGACCCCTCCACCCTGTCAAAAAGCCTCGTACTTTCCATTCCATCCATGTCATTCACAATCTTATAAATTTCTATCAGGTCGCCCTTCCACCTCCTGCATTCCAGTGAAAACAAACCCAGTCTATCCAACTTATCTTTATAGCTAAAATCCCCCAAACCAGGCAACATTCTGGTAAGCCTTTTCTGTACCCTCTCCAAAGCATCCACATCCACTGGTAGTGTGGTGACCAGAACTGAAATCAAGATTCCACGTGTGATCTAACTAAAGTTCTATAAAGCTGCAACATAACTTGTCTATCATTATACAATGCCCCTTCCAATGAAGGTAGGCATGCCATAGGCTGTTTTACTACCTTATCTACCTGCGCTGTCACCTTCAGTGATCTGTGACCTGCCCACCCAGATCCCTTTGCATGTCAATACTCTTAAAGGTTCTGCCATTCACTGTATAATTTCCTCCTGTACTTGACCTTTCAAAACGCATCACCTCTCATTTGTCTGGATTAAACTCCATCTCCCATTTTTCTGCCCATGCCTCCAACTGATCTATTACCTGCTGTAAGCTCTGACCATCCCCCTCACTATCTGCAACTCCACCAATCTCTTTATCATCCCCCAACTTACCAATTAGACGTTTTCCTCCAAATCATTTATGTAAAGCACGAATAACAGAGGTCCAAGCACTGATCCCTGTGGAACACGACTAGTCGTAACCCTCCATTCCAAAATGCATCCTTTCACCGCTACCCTCTGTCTCCTATAACTAAGTCAGTTCTGTATCCATCTTGCCAGCTCACCCCTGATACCATGCAACTCCACCTTTTATACCAGTCTGCCATGAGGGATCTTGTCAAAGGCTTTACTGAAGTCCATGTCGACAATATCACTGTTTCTTCCTCATCAATCATCACGTCCTCAAAAACTCAATCAAGTTAGTGAGGCACAACCTCCCCCACACAAAACCATTCTGTCTATCGCTAATTAGTCCATTTGCTTCTAAATGCGTATAGATCTTGTCCCTGAGAAACTTTTCCAATAATTTCCCTACCACTGATGTGAAGCTCACAGGCCTGTAATTTCCTGGATTATCCCTACTACCCTTCTTAAACAATGGGAAAACATTAGCTGTTCTCCAGTCCTCTGGGGCCTCACCTGTGGTCAAACAGAATACAAAGATGTCCGTCAGTGCTCCAGCAATTTGTTATCTTGCTTCCCTCAATATTCTGGGATAGATCCCATCAGGACGCAAGGACTTATCTACCTTAATACTTCTCAAGACTCACAACGCCCCCTCCTTTTTAATAGCAACTTGACTTAGAAATTCGACACTCCCTTTCCTGAGATCATCTTCCACCAGTCCCTTCTCTCTGGTGAATACCGACACAAAGTATTCATTTAGGACCTCACGTACCTCTTCTCACCTCACACACAGATTCCCTCCTATGTCTTTGAGTGGGCCAACCCTTTCTCTAGATACCTTCATGCTTTTTATATATGTATAAAAGTCTTGGGATTCTCCTTAATCCTGTTTGCTAACAACTTCTCATGAACCCTTTTAGCCCTTCTAATTCCTCATTTAAGCTCTTTCCTACTTTCCTTATATACTTTAAGGGTTTCATCAGTTCCCATCCTCCTAGACTTTATGTTTGCTTCCTTTTTCTTTTGACCAAGGTCATAATATCCCTGGTCATCCAAGGTTCATGTAACCTGCCATACCTATTCTTCATTGTCGCAGGAACATACCACTCCTGAACTCTTATCGACTGCTGCTTGAAATACTCCTACATGTCTGATGTGGATTTACTCTGAAACAGCCACCTCCAATCAAAATTCTCCAGTTCCTGTATAATATTGTAGTTTACCTTGCCCCAATTTAACACCTTCACCCAAGGACTGCTGTTATCCCTATCCATGAGTATCTGAAAACTTCCAGTACTATGGTCACTACTCCCAAAATGCTCCCCCACTGAAACCTCACTCACCTGTCCAGGCTAATTTCCCAAAACCAGGTCCAGTATAATCCCTTCCCTGGTTGGACTGTTTACATACTGTGTCAAGAAACCCTCCTGAATGGTCCTTACAAATTCTGCCTCATTCCAAGCCCTAACACAAAGTGAGTCCCAGTCAATATAGGGGATGTTAAAAATCACCCACCATAGCAACCCTGCTGTTTTTACATCTTTCCAAAATCTGTCTATATATTTTCTCCTCTATCTCCCACTGGTTATTGGGAGCCCTGTAGAATACCCCCAGCATTGTGATTTCACCTTTCCTATTCCTTAGTTCTACCCATATTGACTTGCTGCATGAGTCCTCTGATGTATCCTCGCTCAGTACAGCTGTGAGATAATCCTTTACGAGTAATGCAATTTCCCCCACCCCTTTTCCATCCCCTTCTATCACTCCTGAAACATCTAACTCCTGGAACATTCAGCTGCCTGTCCTGTCCCTCTTTCAGCCAAGTCTCTGTAATCTCAATAATGTCATAGTTCCAAGTATTAACCAAAGCTCTCAGTTCATGTACATTGCCTAACATACTTCTCACATTGAAACATGTGCATTTCAAACCGCCTCCCCTGCTCTTTTCAGTAGCGTTTTCCTGCCTGTTCTTGTTCTTAGTCATGTTTGCTTTGTTTTCTATATCTTTCTCAATTTCTGCGTCTACGCCCAACACCACTGGTTCCCATCAGTAGTTTAAATCACTAGTCTAAACCACTCTACCAGTACCCACCCCCCTGGACATCAGTCCCAGCCTGGTGTAATCCATCCAGTTTGTACAGGTCCCACCTCCCTCAGAACCAGTCGCAATGCTCCATGAATTTGAAACCCTTCCCCTCACACCATCTTTTCAGCCACATGTTCCTCCGATATATCCTGCTGTTTCTATTCGGACTAGCTCTTGGCACCGACAACATCCCAAGATAACTACCTTTGAGGTCCTACGTTTCAACTTTCTTCCTAGCTCTCGATATTCTTCTTTTAGGACCTTATCCTTTTTATAACCCATGTCGTTAGTACCAACTTGTACCACGACAACTGGCTGTTTACCCGCCCCTTCCAGAGTGTCCTGCAACTACTCTGAGGCATTCAGGACCCTAGCACCAGGGAGAAAACACACCATTCTGGACTCTTGTTTGTGACTATTGAATCACCTATAACTTTAGCATTTCTATGCCTGTTTCTCCCTCCCTCTGCAGCAGAGCCAACTATAGTGCCATGAATTTGGCTGCTGCTGTTATCCCCTAAGAGTGCCAATCCCCTCAACAGTATCCAAAACAGTAGATGGCATATAAGAAAACCCCATTTTTCCAGGTGGAAAAGACTTTTTTTTGCACGAACTTACTTAGCATCTAAGTCAACCTCTTTTTCAATTAATCTTACTGTACCTTCCCCTGTTCTGAAAATTTAGGAAGGTTCCCTAAACCCCGCATCTCCACTCATCCCCCCACCCTGATCCTGACTTCACTTACATTGTGCCACCAAGAATGAAAAAAGTGAATTAATTGAAACTAAGAAACAATACTACAGCAACCCCTGTTCCAAACTGATCAGAATTCTGATCCTGGGATAGCAGGAACTGCAGATGCTGGAGAATCTGCGATAACAAGGTGTAGAGCTGAATGAACACAGCAGGCCAAGCAGCATCAGAGGAGCAGGAAGGCTGACGTTTCAGGCCTAGACCCTTCTTCATTTTTCTGAAGAAGGGTCTAGGCCCGAAACGTCAACCTTCCTGCTCCTCTGATGCTGCTTGGCCTGCTGCGTTCATCCAGCTCTACACCTTGTTATCTCAGATTCTCCAACATCTGC